GGAACAAGCTGCCCAGCCCTGTGGTTGAAGCTGATACCCTGGCTTCTCTCCAGACACAGCTGGGTGAGCTCCTCCAGTCAGGACAGGAGGGGCTTCTGTACACAGAGGGTGGTGGGGGTGTGGAACAAGCTGCCCAGCCCTGTGGTTGAAGCCGATCCCCAGTCAGGACAGGAGGCTCTTCTTTACACAGAGGGGGGTGGGGGTGTGGGACGAGCACACGGCCTCTTTCAAGACAACGCTGGGGGCGAGTTAGCCTCTAACTACCCCAGGGGCCCGATGTGCTCTGGTGGGGGGGGGCAGGGGTGGCCCTGACCACTTCCTCTGCCATGCCTCTCGTGCGACACACACGTCGTCGTTCGGGCGCTGAAAGCATCCGTGTCCGGGGCTCGCACCCGGGCCAGGACCTGCAGAGGTCTGTGAGACAGCCGGGGAGAGCTGGCCTTCCCTATAGCAGAGCCCCTGCCGCCTGTGAACGACTGCAGCGCCGTGGCAGCTGCCAGGAGAGAAGGGCCTCTCTCCTCCCAGCAGGAAGTGTCCTCGCGCAGGGGAAGGGATGCTTTTATTATGCAACACCGCCCTCTGCTGGTCCGCGGTGGGGTTGCACCCTCAGAGAGCGAGGGGTCTGGCCAGACTCCCGGACTGATCACAGTGTTCGATTTCGCTTTCTTCAGACACGCCTTCTGATCGGGGGTCTTACAGCCCCCAGCCTTGTCCTCGGCAGCCGAACACACAGAGGGTTCAGTGTATTACGCAGAGCACTGGGCGCCTCATGAGATTTAACACCCCCAATAAACCCAGTCATGATGACTCCTCCATCTGATTTATCTGATTTATCTGAGTCGGGGTTACGTGGGGAACAGGAGCCTATCCCAGCAAGCAACAGACACAAGGCAGGGTACACCCTGGACAGGACACCAGTCCATCACAGGACAGCCACACTCACACACCCTGGACAGGACACTAGTCCATCACAGGAGACACACACACTCACACACCCTGTACAGGACACCAGTCCATCACAGGAGACACACACACTCACACACCCTGGACAGGACACCAGTCCATCACAGGACA